CTCTTATCATCTCTGGAAAATTGTGATGATTCGAGTCCCAGACCACCCGAAAAGGCTGAGAAAGTGTGGTCTTGTGGGCAAAGGGATGTTAGGTGGGCTGAAAACTGGTGGGACTGCCAGACTGAGAGGGTAGCGATCAATGGCTCGACATCCAGCTGATGGCTGGTGTCAAGGGGAATTATTGAGCTTCAGGGATTAATACTGGGGCTGATGTTGTCCAATGTCTTCACCCGTGAGGTGTCTGATGAGGCAGAATGCATCTCAGCAAGCCTGAAGGAGTTATTGAATTAGAAGAGGTGACATGATGAATGGGACTGCTTCAATCGAGAGGCAAAACTCATGCTGGCCAGCATCAGGAGGAGCTTGGCCAGGAAATTGAGGGATGTTTTCATGCCCTCTACTCAGTCCTGGTAAAATCACACCTGGCACATAGTGCGAAGTTTCGGGACACCCCAGTTCATGGGGAAAAAAGGAAGGCCTGGGGAGAATCTGGGGTACATGGTCAGTGGGAAGAGGTTGAGGGAGCTGCTTTGTTTAGTCAACCCAAAAGGATGCTAAGGGTGAGCTAACAGCATCCTACAGCTACCTGAAGGGCAGAGAGGATGGAGCTAAACTCTTCTCAGCCACAGCAGCCAGCATGACGAGGGGCAACAGCCACAAGATGTGGTTTGGGAGGTTCAGGCTGGACACTAGGAAAGCGTTTTCCACCAGAAAGGTGGTTCAGCCCTAGTGCAGGTCACCAGGGAGGCTGCGGTGTCCCCATCCTTGGAGGTTTTTCTAGGTCAGGTCAAAGTCATGGCTGCATTCATAGAAACATAGAGTCACAGAAGGGTTTGGGTTGGAAGGGACCTTTAAAGGTCATCTAGTCCAATTCCCCTGCCATGGGCAGGGACACCTCCCACTAGCCCAGGTTGCCCAAAGCCTCATCCAGCCTGGCCTTGAATATTTCCAGGGATGGGGCATCCACAGCTTCTCTGGGCAACCCACCCTCAAATTTCTTCCCTATTTCTAAGGACCAGCCACTGCGACCACATTAAGAACAAATGTGTAAGTAAAGAGTGTGAGCATGTGATAAAAAGATGCTGTAGACTAAAGATGAATCTGGAAGGGATTGAGATGAACAGGGTGATTCTAAAGTGACAGCTCTGCACAAAAGCAGCTCCCAGCCTTGGAAATATTTTCCTGCAGAACTATCTGTCTCTGCTAACCAGCTTGCTGCCTTGACTGGAACTGGTGCCATCCTCCCAACCTCTGTGCACCTTGCAAAGCCTTTTTATAGCTGGGGAAACGGCCTTCCCTCCTGTTTCAATTCATCTTCTTGACCTTGTGCAATTCTCAGCAGCCCTAAAGGAACTGTTTTACCTTCAGGTCTGTGACTCTTGGTACTACCAAGTGCTGCACAGAAACATCCAGTGCATCCAGCTGCTGGTCTCGATATCTTTGCTAAACCTGCCTCGTCGTAGGTTATGTCCTTTAGCCTTCCTGGACCACAAAGGAGCAAAACTGAAGGAAGTCAGTGGAGTTATGGCACAGTTGGGCTGACTCATGTTAACCTCCCCCGTGCAATTTATGGCTGGTGCCTAAGGGATCTCCTTAAGTGCTTTGTAAAATCTATTTTAAACTATCTCCAGGGGAATAGCTCCTCTGGGGAAAACCTGGCAAAGCTTAACAGCACAGGGTGGATTTTGCTGATGACATACCTTCCTTTCCTTCAATTTTTTGCAGTCCTCCTCTCTGCCTGCCCCTTGCTCTCCATCAAACCCTTCTCCTCCTACCTTGGTGCTGACAACCTTTTTATATTTCCTGGTTTTTATCTCCCTCCCTGCTGACAGCAGGAGCTAGCCTTTCCAAACTGCCCCTTTTTATCCTTCCCTTGCAACTCTGTCCCTTTCAACAGTGTTCTTAAAGAGCACAGAGGAAGGGAACAGGAGAAAAAAAAAAGTGGGTTTATTTCTCTTTATAGAAACTTCAGCCTGAATTAATGGAAATTACCCCAGCAAAAGCAGAACAGGTGTATAGTTGACTGCAAAGCTAAGACACACTGTTTGCAATTACCTTGGATGCTCACCCACAGGGAACTCTCCTCTGCTGCAGTGCTAATGAGGGAAGGAAGAATTCAGCCTGTACCAGCTTGTACATTGCCTGAGAAAAATCTCTATATAATGTGATAGGAGTTTTCCAAGTGGGAAATGCATGTGAGTCCTGAGCCCAGTCCTGAGAACAAGCCATGCTGGGGCTGAGCTGGCCAGGCCATCCTGTGGGTTGTTTCTGCATCCATCCCAAGCCCAGCACTCCCAGCCATCGCTCCGGCCAGGTGGTCAAGGGATGGTGCAGCCTGAAATAGCACCACAAATCCAAGGGAGGTAATTGAATTCACTGTTTATTTCTCCGTGATGTTGTTTGTGAACAAACTTACAAGACAAATTGCAGTGTAAGGCTTTTTTTTTTTTTTCTTTCCCTTCTCCTTTTTCCCCATCCTTTCTATAAGCAGCACCACTGCTTTGGTAATCTGGAGGATAAAGGAACAGCTGCTGCGATCTGGGGGGCTTCCAATGAGGATACACAGTCTGAGGGTCCTCCTCTGATTTATAACAGGAGAAGGCAAGTGCTGTGCTGTCTGCTATGCAAGAGCTCAGCCATCCCCTGTGCTTGTCCCCACCACCGCCCAACAGCCCAGCGTGGCAGACACAGCAGCACAGGACGAGCAAAGGATCAGTAGCGATTCTGCAGAAGGATTGAGCTGGTGGACCAAACCACAGAGACCAGGACTCACTGGACCTGTGCGGTGGCCACCAGCCAGGCTGTGCTGCTCTGGTGCACGGTCTGGTCCCCATCTGAAGTCAGCTGTCCTCATGGCAGGGAGGTGCAGCCTTGCTGACTTTATAAATCATTCTGTAACCCCGTCCAGGGGTATTCCTGGCAAAGCACATCGCAGCTCTTGACTTTTCACACAATATGAAACAAATATTGTGTTGTTATTGGTTTGTTGTGTTTTGGAAAGTACCCTGGAGCAACTTGAGGTTGTGCTGAGCAAGGCAGGAAACCATCTGCCAGCCAAGGGCTTGTGCTTCGCCAGGAAAGAACCTTCTTCTCCACCCAATGCAACGAGGATGCCACAAATCCATGGGCTGCCAAGAGCTGGAAGGACCATGGTAAACATCATAGAATAGAATCACAGAGGGGTTTGGGTGGGAAGGGAACTTAAAGCCCACCCAGTTCCACCCCCTGCCATGGGCAGGGACACCTCCCACCAGCCCAGGTTGCCCAAAGCCTCATCCAGCCTGGCCTTGAACCCCTCCAGGGATGGGGCATCCACAGCTGCTCTGGGCAGCCTGATCATGGCCTGTCTCCTCCCTACTCCTGGCCAAAGAACCTCATTCCTATCCCTAGTCTGTGTTAGAAACAGACGTTACCTACTCATGGCTTGAAAACTGAGAGCAGTGCAGAACTCCCCCAGATTTGTCTTTCTGATGCTCCTGGTTAACATATGCTACTCGTCCTTCCTTGAACAGATCCACCTACATCTCTTCAGCATCCACTCTCACATCTGTCTTCTAACAGCTTATTTTAAGCCAAAAGTCACCTCTGTGTGTAGGTACCTGCAAACAGGGCTGTAGACTTCCTTAACCATCTCCTCAATGAACAAAAGGTACTGCACAAAAATATGCCGAAAAAAACCCTAAGAAGAAAAAAATAATTACTCTGTTACTCTGAGGTATGTTAACTGTGTCTCTCAAAATGGCTGGGCTAAAAGCCTGGTGAAATATCTAAACCAACCACTTAACCACTGGCCTTTCCACCCTTCACCACCCTACTTCACACCCCAGACCTTACCAGAGGACTACTTGCCAGGGTGTGAGGAGTTAATGAATTTTCTCCACTGTGTATTTCTTTTCCCTTCTGCATATTTGGACTGAATGTAGACATTTTGGTTTCTCTCCTGAATTCCATTCTGGAGAAAAAAAAAAAATAAATTACAAGTTACCCAACAGTCTGCGGTTGCACACTGATGGTACGAGACCAGCGACACAATTTGTGCTTGGGTGGAAAGGAGCCCCAAGATGGGAAGAATGCAGAAAATAGAGGCATCTGCACCAAAATAACACCAGGCTCGACCTTCACCCCGTAATTACAGCTGCATCTGCCTGTAACCCCTTCGAGGAGCACGGTGGCTCTGTGGTCAAACGGCTCAGCCACGAGCTCTGCCCAGTCTGCAGGAGGGCTGGGTTCAACCTCCCATGCTGGTCCCGCATCCCTGGGAAAAGTTCTGCCTTTCCCAAATTGGAGAACAGGACGGAGCCTTAACACTCGCATGCTCCAGTGAACTCCTGTGACAAGTACTGATAATGCAAAAGTAAGAATTATTATCATTATTAATATTGCTGCAAAATGGGGCTGTGCTGCCAAAGCGAGACAGCTCTGCAGCTGCTGGAGTTTCTCTCCTGGGCTGGTCCTGCGGTTCCTTTTGGTGTCCTCCCCAGAACCCATACCCCTGCCCCTCGCTGCCAAAGCAGCATCTACACAGCAGCTGGGCGAAACACGTGAGTTGGTCCTTGCAACGGTCCACAGCCTGGGACAAAACTCCCATCAACATCAGCTGGGGCTGGATGAAGCCTTCAAGGAAGAGAGACCATCTAACACTGCGAGAGCAAAACAAATAAGCACAGCTGACATTTTTAGGGCAAGGACAGACCACCATTCACAGAGATGTATGGGTTCAGTACAAAACCATTTCTTAAAAATGATTTATTAAAAAAAAAACAACACAAAACCCCTTCAGCTATATGGTTAACGCTCAGTGCTGGCATCGCCAACGCTAACAGCAGGAACAAATGCTTTGGAGGATGTAAATCCAGAAGGTTTCCGAAGGTTAATGTGTGTGGGCTAATCCACACGAAGGAGCAAGCTGCACCATCGAGGTGGAGGTGGCAGGCGTAGGACAGCGTACGGACAGACTCCCATGGCAGCACCATAGCAGTACATCCCACCCAGAAGATTCAGAAGCAGCCCCATGGTCCATCTCTCCAAGCATCCATCCTTCACAGTTCAAGTGGGGGGTGAATTCACACGGCTTCACCTCCCTGGACACGGATATCAATTCACATTTTTGGCATCACACTTTGGATTCTGGGCTCTTTGTGGAGTTTCCTGCCAGTTTCTCCTTCTCTGGGTCTGCCTTGGTCTCTTCTGCGTTACCAGCTTCCCTCTCCTGCCGTCTGAGAATCACATACACCATCACGAAGCACAGGAACGTGCCCACCTCAAAGAAAAACTGGAGACCGAGGTACCTGCGGTGTGGAAACACAATAAATCAGGGCATTGAGCACCAACACCAGACATCCCCAGGCACCCAGCAGACATTAAATGTGGGGATGGGCTCCTTGGGCACATTCAGCAGTGGTCAAGGAGCAGCTGCAAGCCTGGGTCCTAAGAAGGGTGGGTTGACAGTTGGACTTGGTGATCCTTGAGGTCTTTTCCAACCTTAATGACTCTATAAGAGGAGGAAGAGCTGCTTCTCCTTGGTGTTACATTAGCAGATCATATCTCCTGATAATGAGGTGATCTTTAAGGTCCCTTCCAACCCTAACCACTATATGATTATATACATAAAAGGGAGGAATATAAAAACATGTCTTGGGGTTGAGGGTGAATAGGACTCACTGCAGCTAGTGAGCAGAGAGTCACTTAAAAACAAATTTGCAACAGGGATGGAAGACCACCTACAGCTCCCTTCCAGCCTCCCCACCGTGCACAGTCTGGATTTGGTGTCCTCTGTGTGCATCAAGCTGGGCTGTTCAGTCGGAAGATGAACCCCAGGGTGCAAAGCACCCTGCACGGACCCCACACCACCTCACAGGGAGCTTTGGTGCTGGGGTCACTGCTGCTGTTGCATTACCTCTATAGAGTCACAGGATGGTTAGCACTGGAAGGGACCTTAAAGCCCACCCAGTGCCACCCCCTGCCATGGGCAGGGACACCTCCCACTAGCCCAGGTTGCCCAAAGCCTCATCCAGCCTGGCCTTGAACCCCTCCAGGGATGGGGCATCCACAGCTGCTCTGGGCACCCTGGGCCACTGCCTCACCCCCCACACAGGAAAACATTTCTTCCTCACATCTCATCTCCATCTCCCCTCTTGCAGCTTCAACCCCGTCCCCCTCATCCTGTCCCTGCACCCCCTGATCCAGAGCCCCCCCAGCTCTCCTGTAGCCCCCTTTCAGCACTGGAAGGTCTCCCCGGAGCCTTCTCTTCTCCAGGCTGCACACCCCCAACTCCCTCAGCCTGTCCTCATAGGAGAGGTGCTCCAGCCCTCGGACCATTTTCATGGCCTCCTCTGGACTCTCTCCAACAGGTCCAGGTCTTTATGCTGGGGGCCCTACATATCATGAAAACCTCCAGCAACGGGGACTCTACCACCTCCTTGTAGAGGTTGTTCCAGTGAACGATTTTTCTCAGTATAATGCAGGAAGTGCTTCTGGAAGTGGACCTCTGTGGTCTATAGCATCAAGTTTGCACGGTCCTTGGCATTGGCTTGTCCCAATGACTTCCCTCCAAACCATTCCTGAGCACTGCTGGGACTTAACACTGGCCAGGGGGATGCAAATTTGCTCACCATGGCATATCCAACAACTTATCCCACACTGGAGGTGGCCAGGATCCCCCCTGGGTTTCCCTCTGCATCCCCATCCGCATCCTGACCGCCCATCCCTACCTTTGCCGGAAGAGGTTATTGTCGTAGTATCTGCAGGCTGCCTTCCTGTCGCACTTCTTCTCCCAGAGGATGCAGGTTGTGTCGATGGCGCTGCCGTACAGAACGGGACCCGGCATCCACGCTGGAAGCAGAGGGTCAGAGGGGACTTTGGTACGTCTGCCGGGACAGACCCCACCCTGGTTATTTTCCCATGTCTTTGGGTGGAAAGTGGCTGGGGATGGTTTTCTTTGCTATGACCCAGGAAGCCATTGGTCCTGCGTGGCACACCAAGGGCTGGTTGTGTGTTTGAGCCCCACTAAGATGCTGAAGGTCCTTCTTTCTCATTGCTCTTTGATATGGGACCATCGCTCATCCCAGGAATGATGCTCACCTCCTCCATGCACTGCACTCCTTCCCACGACTGCAGGGGCATGTTCTGGGAGGGCCTCCAGGTGAAAATTAATTTCCACCATAAGAAAAATAACTAGTGGGATCACAGGACATGGTCTGCAGCCTGGTATGATGGAGGCAAACACAGCAATATCTGCACACAGCCAAGGGTTGTCCTCCTGGACCCAAACTTGTTCCCTGCCCTCTTTAGATGTAACCCCATGGAGATGCCTCTTCCCCTCCCCACCACATGCGGCCCCCCCAGACCCTGCAAGTCAGCATCCGTCCCTGGCTCAGGACAGGCTTTCATCAGCCCGAAACTCTGAACAAACAACACTTCTGCAGCCCTGGGGCTGCTCAGGAAAAAAATCCCCACAAATCCCCAAAGAGCTGCCATGATTTTCCAGGATGGCATTTCAACACGCTTTAATTTACCTAAAACTCTCAGCAGCATGAACTGTATCCCAACCGCAAACGATTTGTCTTCAGGCTGGATGCTCCTGAAAAAAAAACCAAAATGGAAAACTTGCCCTGTGGCATTTGTGCAAAGATGGATGTTCCCTTCCCTGGGATGGCGTGGAGCCTTACCCAAAAATTCATCCTTCAACCCAACCACCGAGGGCTCCAGGCTGTTCCCGTTTGTGTCAGCACAAGTGATGATGTTTCACTTATTAGGGCTAGAAGCTTACCACAGCCTTTTCTTGCCCTGAAAAACCTACCAAACTCTGAGAGGAGCTCAGAAAAGTACTTTTGCTTTTAATTTAAAGAATCCGCATGAATAACACTCAAACAGAAACCAACAGAGCTGCTGGCTCTGCCGAACACAAGCGATACAAGGGATGCTTTTTGCAACTGAAAGAAAAAAAAAGATATTTACCCACTGAGGAGGTGGGGTTTTTTCTGAGGTGGGATGCCCCAGTATATATTTTGGTGGTACACCTGTTTTCTGAAATAAATATTTCAGGCTGTTTTTCCTGCTGGGTTAACACAAGGGAGAGGACTGGGTGGCAGAGGACCCAACCCACTCCAGGGTCATCTCATCTCAGGGGACACAGCTTCCCTTTCCTCTTTCTCTGCCTGATGTATGCATAGCTTGCTCATGGCATAAATGGTGATTTAATAATGCCTGAGAGTCAAGGTAAAAACAGGTTTTAACCACAGCTTTTCCCTAAAAAGCAACTGTTTGGAGTGCTTTGACCATGGAAATGTGCCTGGAAGTATCATTTATAGCCTAACACAGAGATTCATAGAATCCCAGGCTGGTTTGGGTTGGAAGGGACCTTAAAGCCCACCCAGTGCCACCCCCTGCCATGGGCAGGGACACCTCCACTAGCCCAGGTTGCCCAAAGCCTCATCATCCAGCCTGGCCTTGAACCCCTCCAGGGATGGGGCATCCACAGCTGCTCTGGGCACCCTGGGCCACTGCCTCACCCCCCGCACAGGAAAACATTTCTTCCCGATATCCCATCTCAGTCTCTTTCAGCTTAAACCCATTCCCCCTCATCTTATCAGTTCCCTCATCCTATTCCCCCATGGCTTTCCCCTCTCCCGCAGCAGAGCCCCAGCATCATCCTCTCCTGCCCATCCCAGCCTCCAGCTCCACCAGCCTGGGGCTCGTGCCGAGGCTCCAGCCCGCTGCTGCCTGCCCCATAGGCACCTTTCCAAGGATGCGGGAAACGAGAGTTCTAATTGCTTCTCTGCACGGGGAAGGGAGGCTGTATTCAAGTGAGATCCATCAGAAGGAAGGAAGGTAATTAAAATTCTTAACTTTACACGGAGGTGCATTAAAAAGTGACAAAGTACCACCATGATAAATTAACGCTAAGTCGATGGTGCATCTCGTTACCGAGGTATCAGCTGTGGGTGGGGAGAACAGGATGACTGCTGGATCTGAAGGGGGGCGGGAATTGTGCTGAGACCAGGAATGGGGGGTGCTGAGGGCAACGTGGGGATCCTGCAAGCCCCATGGCCCCGTTGGTGGGTGGAGGTGTCACCCACTGGCCACTCCTTGGCTGAACTTGGTGGTGAGCACGACATTGCCTGCAAGAGCAATTGGCCATGTGGCACTGGTGGCTCCGTGATAGAGCCTCCAGCAGCCTGAACTCTCAATTTTCTGCTTAAACCCTTCAGCAGCCACAGCCAGAGACCTTGGAAGAGCCTTTCTAGTCTCGGCAGCAGGAGCTCTGTTAGCGCAGGGTCTTCAAGAGCAAGTCCTGAAGGTCAGGACAGGTTGGAACAGGTTGCCCAGAGCAGCTGTGGATGCCCCATCCCTGGAGGGGTTCAAGGCCAGGCTGGATGAGGCTTTGGGCAACCTGGGCTAGTGGGAGGTGTCCCTGCCCATGGCAGGGGGTGGCACTGGGTGGGCTTTGAGGTCCCTTCCAACCCAAACCCTTCTATGGTTCTGTGATTCCTGCTTCAACATTTGAGACTGGAGCTGCTCGATGTTTCTGCCCTGCCCGGATGTGCCAGGTCTTTGCTAGCACAGAGACATAGCCTCGAAGATGGCCAATGACATGCACTGAGAGGAGACAGGACCAGGGAAGCCCCGTTCTCCATTCCCTGCACCAACATGTGCAAAAATAATTTAAAAAGCAACGGGAGGAACTGGGCACGAGGTGCAATACAGCGATGATTTAACCCTCCAGTCCCTCAGCTGGAGAAAACAATTCAAGGACCCCTTGATTTTCCAAACCCAACCCCTAGATGCCTTTTCTGCTGTGTTTAAAGGAACGCCTGCACCCAGACCATGGCCAACCCAGCCTCTCACCTGAGGATGAGCATGAAGGATGGTGTGTGGGATGTGCTGGCGAGGATCCCCGCCAGGCAGGACAGGACCACAAAGGGTAGGAAGAGGTGGGAGCAGCCGGTGCCGCAGGTGCCGGGTTTGGCAAACCCCGGGAGCCCATTTTCAGAGATGCAGCTGCAGTTGGTGTAGTTCTGCAAAGAGGAGAGAAAACCCAGAGGCTGCTCATCTGCTCGAGGCTACGGGGATAGCTGCCAGCTGTCATCGGGAGGGAGGGTGTTTAGATTTTTGTCTGTAAATAATTAGCAGCAATTAACACTCAACACTTCAGGAAGCAGGGGGGGAAAAAATAAGCACATACAATGGAGCTGGCTGGGGGGAACAGGCTGAGCAGATGAGGAAACACATTTTCCCATCCCCACTCCCAGCCTCCAACACGCTGCCATCTCTGAAAGGAGATCCCAGCCCCACCGGGTCCCATGGGCAGCACTTGGATGTCACACAGGTGAGGATGCCCAGCTGATGGAGAAGCTGGGACCACAGCGGTACCTTGGTTTTCTGTGCTTCCAGAGGCACCCAGAAGTTCTCCCAACCGAGATGCATCCTCACCGTGTTGGTGTGAGCCCCAGCAATGCCTCCTGACCCCCTTCAGCAATCCTTCTGTGCTCCCAGTTCTGCATTTCACACCTGTTGCGCACTGAAGATGCTCACACCCAGGTTTATTCCAATGTCATCCT